GAGAGGAGGAGGGAGAGGAGGGGGAGGGGGAGGGGGAGGAGGAAGAAAGAGGAAGGAGGAAGGAGGAGGGAGGAGGAAGAGGAGGAGGAGGCATGAGGAGCAGGAAGGAGGTGGGAGGAGGAGAAAGAGGAGGAGAAAGAGGAAGAAGAGGAGGAGGTGGGAGGAAGAGAAAGAGGAGGAGGAAGAAGAGGAAGAGGAGGAAGACGAGGAGGAGGAGGAGGAGGAGGAGGAGGAGGAGGAGGAGGAGGAGGAGGAGAAGGAGGGAGGAAGAAGGAGGAGGAAGAAGAGTGATAGGGAGGAGGAGGAGGGGGGAGATTGTGGGAGGGGAAGTGAGAGAGAATAGTGAAAAAAGAAAAAATAAGAATTAAGTAATAATATGAATAACAAGAAGAAAAAGGAGGAAGCAACAAAGAGATAAATGTAAATGGGACATAAAGCAAAGACAAGGCAGAGAAAATTAAATAAAGATAAATAGGTAAATAATAATAATAATAATAATAATGATAATAATAATAATAATAACAATAACAATAATAATAATAAAAATAATGATAAAAAGGATATGAAGCTTTTCTTCTTTTTCCTTCAGATGAATTACTGAACTGAATTCCAATATGTTCGGGCATAAAAACCATATGTGTAGCTTTCGATTTTCTGAAGCAACAAAATGCAGTAAAAACAAAAGATACAAATACAACAAATGTGAGTAAATGAGTTTAATCATGATCAGTCTGAATATATGTTTCATGGACATGTAGAGATGGGTTATTAATAAGCATTAATTAATAATAATAATAAAAAGCAACACAAAAAACAATCTCCTCTCTATATAAAAGGACAATTTTGATATCAGCATTGGTAGCAATGGTCGATATTCTCCCTAGAATAAGGGCTTCTTAAACTCCCGGCAGGAATTTCAGAATAAAAATAGATCTACATTCTTAGGCTGTCTAAGCACACTCTAAAACTTCAGAGGAACTTTACAAAATACAAAAGAAATTTAGTCTGTGGAAGGACGACCACTCCACACTGCCACATGGTAAGCGACTACCACAGTTTGGTAGAATAACCTTTAGAACCAATTCTTGGTTGCTTTAAATGCTACTACAGATATCAAAACAAATTCTACATCTTTGTTATACTTCTCCCTATGTACTCCTTATGTATGTTTAACATACTCATTATCACATGTTAATACAAGCTCTTTTTTTTTCCATTCAACACCGTGAAGCCAAGTTATACAAAGCAATGTTTCAGATCAATGTAAGGTAATCTCAGTTAAGGTTAAGGTGTTAAATAAAGGCATTATTAATAAAAATGGAGTCATTATCTAAATAATGAGTGATTACGATGATGAAAATGAAACAAATGATAGGAGCAACAGAAACCCATAATAAATAATTACTATAATAAAAGTAAAAAGTAAAAAATAACAATAACATAAATCTACTACAATTAACTAATGAATGCTTCCTTAAAGAAGAGGACAGCATGTCATTAACATCAATTAACATAGGAACAAATGCCTACGAAATCAGAAAAAAAAAGAAAAAAATCACGGAAGCTTCACACCACCCAAACCTGTATCAAAGGAAGATTTGTAAAAAGGCAAAACTACATCCTGCAATATTCCAGTCCTTCTTCTTCTCTTTCCTTTCTTGCTTCCTCTTTTGGAAACTGTTGTTAGTAAAGTTCAGTCATTTTTCACAGAAGCCTGAAATGCCACAGATGATCATGCATTTTGACGATTATTTCAGTCAAGCAGTAAGAAGTATGCCGGAAGGGTAATGAGGATGAAAGAAAAATAATAATGAGCTAAAACAAACGAAAAATGTGATAACAATAAAAAAAATCTAAGGATATTCAAAAGCCACACTGGAACATCTATTGTCTTGAGATTAATCATTAAAAAAATTCCCTATATTCAATAGTCACTTTTATTATGGAACTCTTAGATGCTTAGTTCATTAACATTACAAGATAGAAGATATTTATAAATAATTCTACCTTGATACATAAATGGCATACAGCTGGCTCTCTTGCCTCAGACGGGTGCAAGAGAGTGCAATTGCAATGATCCTACAAAACCTGCACTTTCAAAATGCAAAAGGAACCCTGTGCTGACTTTAGCATAATGGCATAATAAGCATTAAACACTGCAAAAACCTACCGTCCAAATGCTGATACTTCAAGTTTCTATTTGCTGATCTACAGTATCACCTGAGGACCTTAGTACAGAAAAAAGTTGGGGGAGAATACGGAAAGATAAGGGAGAGGAAGAGGAAGAGGAGGAAGAGGAAAATGAGGAGGAAGAGGAGGAGGAAGAGGAGGAGGAAGAGGAAAATGAGGAAGAGGAAAATGAGGAGGAAGAGGAAAATGAGGAGGAGGAAAATGAGGAGGAGGAGGAGGAGGAAGAGGAAAATGAGGAAGAGGAAGAGGAGGAGAAGGAGGGAGAGAAAAAAGAGGAGGAGGAGAATATAGAGAAAGAGGAGGAGGAGGAGGAGAACAAGACGAATGATGAGTAGGAGAGAATTAACAAACAAGACGATAGGAAGATAACAAAAGGCCCAACGGAGAATGAGAAAGAGAAGGAAAATCACAAAGGAGGAGTAGCAATAGAAAGTGAAGGTGATAAAGAAAGAAGTTAGGAACAATTAGCAAAAAGTATTACAATAATAATAAAAGTCTTTTTTTTTTTCTAGTCATAATCTCTTATATTGTGAAGTAGTTTAGCCTTCTGATTTTAGTACAACTTTAATTAAGTACTAAATACACTAATTTAACAAAATATTACAGTACTGTACAAAAATTACAAAGCTTATCCACTACAATATCTTTTATCCACTAGGCTAGGTAGGTACACAAGTATATAGACGAGAATGTGTATGTAAAGGTATATGTATATATACATGTGTGTGTGTGTTTGTGTGTGTGTAAATATATAAGGATGCATGTATATATATGTGTGTGTGTGTGTGTGTGTGTGTGTGTGTGTGTGTGTGTGTGTGTGTGTGTGTGTGTGTGTGTGTGTGTGTGTGTGTGTGTGTGTGTGTGTGTGTAAATATATATGGATGCATGTATATGTGTATATATGAATATGTATGTATACATATGTATGTATGTATGTATGTATGTATGTATGTATGTATGTATGTATGTGTGTGTGTGTGTGTGTGTGTGTATATACACACACACACAGTACACATACATAAACACACAACATTTTTTTTCACAGTGCTTCGATATATGTAATTTACAAAACATATCTGTAACCATATATCTTCTTCTCAATATTAAAGCATCAAGGAGAGAAAACAAATTAAACCGTATCTGCGACTAGCTGATATAAAGTAACTCCTTGACTCTAAGCAGATGGCTGCGGCCCAGCTGGTCTGAAGCACAACCTACAACTGCGGTCTCTAAGGTTGCAAAAAGAAAAACCTAGCAATTGTGAACACACTCTCTGCTCTCAAGTCCTTACTTACACTGTACAATGGTAACTTATGAAAACCAGTGTTCAATCTCCCTTATTAAAAATATGAGCAAGGCCAATATATAATAACAGAAGAGCTGTATAAAGAAAATAATAATAATAAAAAATATATAACACCATAAAGATATATTAAATAAATAATGGGAATATCTTCTACAGAACAGGGCCACCCGAAGATGTGACTAGCAACCTTCTGGGACTGAAAACTCAAAGAGAAAATTAATCAAACAGCTGACTAATGATCGAGTTAGTTTTTTTTCCTCCCCCGTTCTCTAAATGTATGGAATGTTAAATAAATACTGTAATAAGTAAATAAGTAATAAATTCATAAATCTCTTCTGAACTTTTTTTTTAAACACATCCCTAACCCTTATAAAAAAAAATAATAATAATAATAATAACATCACATACATACAGAATAAGTAATAAAAATATAAATGAAAATATCCTCTCACTTCACAATACTTCAAGTGCAGAGAAAAAGATTGGCCAATATTATACATCACTTTTCTTAATATACATAAACATGTACCTCTAAGTTCTTATTCAATACCCTTTGCACACAGCCTTGCTCAAAAAGCACAAAAAGAACTTGGCACAGAATCATATCTATAAACATTAAAAGAAAAGAAAAAGAAAAAAAGAATGAAAAAAAATGAAAAGAAAAAGAAAAGAAAGAAAGAAAAAGAAAGAAGGAAAGAAAGAAAGAAAGAAAGAAAGAAAGAAAGAAAAAGAAAAAAAAAGTGGAAAAAAAAAAATAATAATGAAAAAAAAAAAAGAAAAAAAAATCATACCTATATTTAAAAACACATTATATTCACCCCAAAAGTTGCAACATCACATTAACCTTTCTGCTACAGCTACTTCACTCCCTCAATGACTCCCCCCCCACACCCCCACCCCAAGCTACCTCAACCCCTTTATAAGGAACGCATCGCAGACACGCCAAAACCCTAGAGAAAAAAATTGCAGAAAACGAAGCCCCAACCTGGCTTCCTCTTCCACTCAATGCGTTCCTTAATCACAACCCAACCCCTTACCACACACCTATACATACTTATAATTAACAACTGTACTTCTATAAATAAATATGTAATAAGAATCATCTTTGTAATAATCAAGAGAAAGGTTACAAACAAGAGGGAAAGTAAAATATAATTATAATAAAAATAATAACAATTGTTACAATAATGATAATAGCAGTAACAATAATAAAATAAAGAAAAAAATAACAATTACAGTAATAATAATAGCAATAATAAAAGTAGAATGATGATAAAACACAATGATAATGATGATGATGATAACAATAATATTAATAATTATCCTTATTATTATTACCATCATCATAAAAATAATAATGACAATATCTGGTTGGAATACCAATAATAGTAATAATAATAATAATAATAATAATAATAATAATAATAATGATAATATAATAGTAGTAGTAATAGTAATAATAGTAATAATAATAATAATAATAATAATAATAACAATAATAGTAATAGTAGTAGTAGTAGTAGTAGTAGTAGTAGTAGCAATAGTAATAGTAATAATAATAATAACAGTGACAATAGCAACAATGACAATAATAATAATAATCATATTAGTAATAACAATAAAATAATAATAATAAGTTAAAGAGAAAAATCACCATCATTAAAATTATAACATAAAGGAAAGAGAGAGAGAGAGAGAGAGAGAAAGAAAAAAATCTATATCACTATCCTCGTAACATAAAACAAAATAAAAAGAAAACGTATCAAAAATAGCAGGAAAGTAACCATTACTATTATATTCTAGAGATACACTATGTACACACTGCCAGACGTCAAAGCAAGATCAGACAAGGAGTATCATATGCGAGGCGGTGATAATTAGCCGAAGACGCGAGCTTACCACCACGAAACGAGAGGACCTTAATCTGAACAAAAGGGCGTTTGATACAATACAGAGATACAGACAGAGTGAGAAGAAAGGGCGGGGCTAATAAAAGGCAGAGCAGACGGATTGAAAACGAAGAACTCTTGGTTCCTGTTTCTTCTCGTTCTTTCTTTCTTTCTTCTCTTTTGGATGAAATATTCCCATTGAGGTTCTCCATTTTGGATGCTCTCTATTCCTAGATGTTTTGTATGTCGGGACAAGTATCAGAACGGGACTTTTTATTTCGATGCAAAATTCCAGTTCTTTGTTGTCCAACTCTGCTCTCTTTAATCAGATCCTAAAATGAAAAATAATGAAAAAAGAAAAAGAAAAGAAACGAGAAACAAATAAATATCTTATCATGCCTTGTGTGTTCCTGTCGATATTGGAGAGTGAAAAGACTAGACCCTTTAATAACCCTGTTACCCTATAAACAAGCTGACAAACAGAGCAAACCAAAAATAGGAAAAACTTGGTCCTAAGAGCTAGTTGGATGAGTTAAATACGAGAACTGACACTGAGATCTACACTGATAAACCGTTTTACGTACCAATAATAATATTCTTTTCCACTAGATACTTTGGCAGTGACCTCTATACCTTCCAGAGCTTTACTTATTTCTTTTTCCTCCCTATGCATATGGTAAGACTAGCACATCCTAATATAACAAATATTCATACTCAATTTCTCACGCCTATCTTCCAAAGACAGAACAGAATACCTTTTATCTTTTCTTCTTGAAAAATCTAGGCTTCTTATGGCCAGAACCGGCATATTCAACCAGATATTTGAAATCCATGATTCTTTTTCCCTTCATGTGAAACCTAGCCTGCACATGGAGTGTTTGCTAATGTCCATACATTGAAGCTTGAACTATTATTATGTCATACAATAAATGTCTGCTACATCTGTTCATGACACAGGTAATAAAGCCATTTACATACAATAATGGCAGATATATTCGTTCAAAAACAGACTTCAGTTCCTACAATTGGGTAAAGCCAACACTACTAATGGCCAGGAAGATCACATATCTATGTTTTCATTACAAAATATGAATAACTGAAACAACTACATCCAACTGCAGTGATTTTATAGCAGCCACCTTCTGCATCTGTGCACAATGGCTTTTACAGAAGAGCACGATCACTGAGGCTAGAAAATAACATTATTGTGATGCATCTTTCCCTTTGTTAAAAATTTACTTTAGCTGATTCATCTACTCCTCCATTTGTTATAAATAACACAGATTCTAATTCTAATTCTCCATCCCTCTCTTTCCCTATTCATTTGTTTATCTTTACACTGTGGATAACTATGAAGCATTTGGAAGCAGGTGAAATATCCCACAAAAGTAATGCAATACCTCAAAACACCATCAAAATATACTACACTTTTCTATAATCATGAAAAAATATCTGATACATCTCTGTTCAGAGTAACAAGCTTCAAGGCCTTTGAGACATTCATCACTGATATTTTCATTATCAATCATCAACTTGTGAACCCAGTAAAAGTAGACCCACAATGAGAGTAGGACACTCTATGTCCTCTCCAGAAGCAAGTTGTGGCTATGGTTTACTAAGTAGTTAAGCAAGGTATTGTGACCATCAGCATTCACTGACTGTTAATATAAAGAGACATGGACTCATATACAATGACAAGGGGACATCTGGTGACTACTGTGTACATTTGATCTTGAAGATGAAAACATACTTTCTTATCTCCAGAGAGGAAAGAAAGTCACCTTGCTGATATATCTACTGATACACGCAACATAAATTCTGTTTTGTAAAGGGTGTTTTATCTACATTACACACTGCTTTTCATATATATATCATACAAACATGAAGATAAAAAGTGTTATCTTGCTGTGAAATAGATTAAAGTAATTTTCTTCTGTAAACATCCTCTTGAAAAAGTCCATTTGTATAAACATTGAATGTTATTAAAGTCTGAATATGCTTTCATAGTTCAAAGTACAGAATGTACCTCATGACTAATGCTTAAGGCTAAAAGGTATGACTGCAATATATCCTTACACCTCAGAAGCATCAGAACATGTCAACCTCCATATGCAC